TCAGAGTGCGATCACCACTACCGCTACCGAGTATACCACCGGCATGGAACAGGCGTTCGCCAGGCCGTAATCCTCCACCCATCGGACGCAAAAGTCCCGGAGCGGTAGCACGCATACCAGTCGAGGCCAGAGGCATACGTGGTGTGCTGGTGACGTTGCCCGGTCCCATATCACTACCTGCACCAACACCTCCCGGACGTGGAAGACTGACAGCTCGGCTGAACAACGCTCCAGACGTGTATCCGGGACGGGGAACTGTGGTCGAGATGGGTGAAAAATTGGCATGAGAGTTTGTAGTTTTATGCTACCCAAGATGGGTGGAATAATATGCAAACTGAAATATTTGAAACCATAAAATGATCGAACAAAGTGTTAACTCCGGGACCTTAAATTCACATACATTTGTAATTTGGGAGAGCAGTGAATGAGCGAATAAATGGTAATGATCAGCACACGATTCAGCGTTTTGCAGTCTGTGTGACATTCATTGCTAACAAGACTAGAGTTCGAAAAGTTCGGTATTGAGGCAAAATCGCACAAGAATCAAATCGAACCAGATAAAAATAGCAATAGATGTTTTCATGCACGAATGACAGAGCCTAACGAGAGGAGAGGACTGCAAATAGAGGAACAAGACACAAGTTTATCACAACCAAACAGAAGAAAGCGAAGACAAGGTCGAAATATTTGTTCGCCTGGCTCTGTTCTGGCAAACACTTGAATTAGAATAGAAATAAAGGTGGACGGACGAAATTTGAGTGAATAGAAAAGAAAATTAACCAAACAAAATCTTAACCAAATACTTAACTATTACGTGTAAGGATCTCGTTCAAACACAACCATACTGTCTGGCCCAAAAGAGGCACAGTTCCTTCAACGACTGCTGTTCAAGAAATGAGACCTTGACATACATGAGTTTTGCGAGATTCGCTAATGAACACGGTCAAGCATACACATCAGAACAATCACAGTCAACTGATTACTCATCGGAAGCTAGCTGAATATGAAGGCTGGTAAAGTTGGGAATAGTGCGACAGGAAATAAGTCGATCATTCAGTCACTGGCACAGAATGTGAGTGAAATGAAGGTGCTTGACGAAGAACCGGTGCTGAGAGAGAGAGAGATTGAAACAGATCAATTGAGCAAATCAACGGATGAGTGTGGAGATGAACGAGAAATCCGACCACATGCAGGACTAATAGCCGCCTACACCCCCCCCTCCAAAAAAAGAAACAGATGCTACTACTCGTCAATGATGATTGAAACTATTGGGGAGGACCGAATGACAAACTTCAAGAAAGCAGCGAAACCAACCAGTTCAACCCTCTTTTTCAGAAGATGAAGATGACAGGGACGATGAGCGCACACACGGACGCGATAGAAAAGCATGCACATTTACACCTGTGCATTTGTCGGTTAGATACGCGGGTTAGGGGAATGCGCTCATACCGATTAGCAGTTGGTTGGCACACTAAATAACTAGCTAACCCGACCGAACGGGAGTAAAGCAAGCAAATGCCGGAATAAAGGAGCAGGCGATTACAGTACTCGAGAATGGTGCATGCTTAGTATACGGTATGCACACGAACGTCGAGATACTGGGACAAGACTCAATATATATGCACAAGTTAGACTCGAACTGGATTAGACCAGAAGCGGCATTCCCAAATATTCTCAAATGAATTCGGAGTTAGACGGTGTGAACGAATCAGAAATAATGGGGTGAGTAAAAACATGACGGTGGAAGCAACCAACTGGGGTATCCCGGCGTGTATTATAAACGATAAACAATCGAGAAAAACGAACAATGAAACAAAAGCAAGTACCGTGCGACAAACTAGTTCACCTGGGAAACTACTGTGTTTGAACCGAGGAGATCTCATACTGGGATCTGCATAGAACCCTATATTATGAACAGCGGTAGGAGAAGGGGAGGGGTAGTGGTAAAGTAGAGTAGGGTGAGATTTGGAATGAAGTGAAGTGAATGGAAAGACGAGGAACAGAAGAAGGGATTCTATGATTCATCCACTCTCTTCTGCTTGCAACTCACATGATGATAGATGCCGAGTAAACAATAGAGACAGGATTGAGGTGTTTTGTCACAGTAAAACAACACAGTCGAACTGATTTTGAAAAACAAAACTTAGAGTGAGTGAATTCGAGACAACTAACAGCATCAGAAACATGTCAACAGGTCCCTTCTGGTGGGACAGGCAAGATATTAGGGTAAAATGATATGATTATGAGATCCGAATGTACGGTATGTACTAAGGTAAGAATATGGAAGCACTGTTTTTATAGATGTGTATTATATTGTTTGAACAACGACCGGTATTGGACTAAAAGAAATAGTTGAACCGGGATTGCAAGTGGAGAGCGGTTAAACCCATTATCCTACCACATCCCCCCCCACACACACACTTTTCCTCTGGATGGGATACCAGATCGCTGCCGAATAGCTGTGAGCTGTGTTGTATATTTACGGTTCGGGGGATGAAAATCTTGCCGGTTTCGCTCTGTTGTGACGGTGCGTCCGGTTATGTGATGAGAGCGAAATGAACAGTCAACAGACGGGCCGGAAGAAGAAGCACACGGAGAAAACNTAATTATTCCATTTTCCATGATTTTATTTACTCCAAAAACCAGGTCAACGATGATGAGCTCTATTCTCTAGAAATTGAACAATGATGCGATCAAGATGAATCACCGAAAACAATGTCTTCTCTTCCATTCAGTGGCAAGGTGGTGATTAAACGCAGGTGTGTGCGCTTGGATTCATTCCCAGGATCATAAAACTATTCCATCTTCCGAATTGGCCCAGCCCCAATCACTTCAAAAGGGTTGACAGCTCACGAAGTCGGAACCTAAGAAAAGGATGTGGACCCAAAATGGGATTAATCAAGAGCATCAGTCTCGGCAGGAGGTGGTTATTTCATGGCATAAATACAGTGAACAGTAGACATCATCAGTCGAAGAATAGCGTATCCGTCAAAAAGGCCGAAATTCATTCAGCGTAATCACCCGACGGCTTATTTTAATTTGCAGACGCAAGAAACTCTTTATCGCAAGGTTATTGAGTCGATTCGTGAATGCTATTGTAAGCAGCAGAAGACAAATTAATACCTTTCCTTTCATGGGTGAAATTCAGACGTGATCGTTCGATCTCTTTGTATGTATATGCATTTCCCATCCACATTATCATCGCAACGATTCAGATTCTGCTTCGAGAACAATCGTGAATGGCATCAATCCTGGTTGTCGTGCCACAAACGTTCGCTAACCAAAGAAGTGGTCTACAAATCGGACTAATCTTTCAATAGTTTGACCTCGAGACCAGCCATAGCCAATTCAGCAGGAACAGCGGGACAAACAGAGGTAATCACAACGAATCACAACGCTCGAGATGTTTCAAATCAACTTCAAAAAGAAGCAGTTTCACAGCGCTGAACTGAGACCAATAAACTGATTCGATTGGAGATAACAGTAGAGGAGTTGTTCACCTTGATCATCAGATTGTTTCCTGCAGCGGCAAGGTTTCTCTCGTTCAGTGGATTCGTTGTCTGAAGCCAGACTATGTGCCAAGCAAGTTATGGTACAATAATCTTCATAAAAAGAAAAACGTTCCATGATTTGCATGAGGAACCGAGTACTGCTAGGTTGCCCAGGCCAAAGCCGGTGAATTTTCTTGAAGAATTCAAAATCGGAGCCTTCGGCTGGCGAACGTCTGATCCGCAAGGCAGCGGGACAGTGTGTGAAAACCGCAATCCATTCGGGGCCAGTGCTCAGTTTATCGGATCATACACCCTTTCGACGGGGTCAAACGTCCCAGTTGACTAATATACTTAAATACCCAATCGAGCCGGTGACCAGTGACACAACCGAAAAGGTGTATATAAATATATTTGATAATAAGTAGTATGTGAATGACTGCACAAAAGTTCCCTGAAAGAACACGACCGGTTTCGCGGTCCTTGTCGCTCGTCAGGCATGCGCATCCGGTAATCTTTTGTCAGTTCATTCATATACTTGTACCCAGGAAGTGTATTTTTGTCACAATAACCTTGTTTGCAACGCCGGGTGACCAATGGATAGACAGTTCTGTCAGAGCCAGTTCAATAACGAATCAATGCTANTCTTGGTTGGTTTGGAATCAAGGTTTTTGGCCAACTCCCCCAGATGAATTACCAGTGGCTCACCAACCCGGTTATAGCCCCGAATGTCGGCTTTTCGTTCTCTCACTTTGGTGGGAAAACACCTCCGCCCCAAGAGAAGACAGTGAGTAGGGCTTCCTCAGCACAGGTTATTT